CTCATCAGGAGGCTGAACCCTCAACAGTCTGCAGAATCCCCTCACTGATTACACTGTAAATGATAATCTACCTTAACCAAAATCAAAGTAGACTATCACTCACCCACACCAGATGGAAAACTCTACAAACTGTCGGTTCACACCCCATCACAAGCCAGCAAAACATCCACGAAACAATATATATATATATATATCGTCAAATAGAACTGCCCGGTAAATATATATATATATATATATTTCTCTCACCTCGCATATCTTTTAACTTGTGTTCTGCCATGTCATGGAACATATCTTTCTTTTTCAGAACCTACCACTACTCCTAAGGCTATACAGGGGACACCTGCAGGCATAGCTTTCTACCTCTCTCGGTGGAGGGAGGTAACGGCATGTTTGCCCCTTTGTCCTAGCGTTTAGGGTGCAGGGTTTGGTAGATAGATATGATTTTTTTTTTTAAGTTGGTGAGGGTTTCCTGCTAACAGGGTTGATAGGAGCAGCCCTCATTAGCAGGACCTCGAGTGTAGATGATGACAATTGCGGTTGTGTGTGTGAGTGCTACCTACCCACCCGACGACGTCGCCTCTTTCCCCTCATGCACCTCCCCACTCCCCCCTCCTCCCACCCTCTGCCCCCCGGGCCCCCGCCACCTCTCTCCACCCCCCCCTCTCCTCCGCCCCCCACTTCTCCCCCTTGCCCTAATGATTTTGAAGAATAGAATTTGTGCGTGATGGCAGTTGGGGGTTGATGTACATAGAAGAGCAGAGTGTAAAATTTCGGAGAGCAGAGTGTAAAATTTCGGAGAATCAGGTGGTAAAGAATGATGCGCATCTCTCTCAGGTGGTAAAGAATGATGCGCATCTCTCTCTCTCTCTCTCTCTCTCTCTCTCTCTCTCTCTCGCGCGCGCGCGCGGGGCATCCCCCATACCCCGCCCCCTCTTAATGAAGCATGTCTTTGGATGGCGCGAGGCTCACACATCTCTCTCTCTCTCTCTCGCGCGCGCGCGGCATCCCCCATTCCCCGCCCCCTCCAAATGAAGCACGTCTTTGGATGGTGCGACTCTCTCTTGCCATCCTCTCTCTCTCTCTCTCTCTCTCTCTCTTTCTTTTTGTACGACTACGTAGAAAAGATGCCATTTGTCGCTACCGGTAGTACACTAAAAGGGAGGGGCATTCACACTGTCTTTTGTTTTGTATATAATTCTGGGCTATTTTTCGGGCGGTCTGGGTCCCGAGGTCCCGCCTGGGTGCTCCCCCCTGGCGGGCCACGGTCAAGCCCAGGGCATTCTTGCACTTGGCCAGTCCCCCCCCCACCGGAGGCAACTACCAGACCTCCCGCGTGCCAAGGGAGGCCCGGAAAAAAAAATTGGAGCCCCGGAGACCGGTACCGGGCCTCCCAAACAATTGGGCGCCCCAATCTGGGTTGCTGATCCTCGAAGATCAGTGGGCCCAAATTGGGCCACCAAGATTGAAATTTGAACGTAGGTGCTTTGTTCGACCCCACCCCCCCTTGGGGTTGACCCCCCGGCATCCCACCGGCCTGCTCCACCACTCCGTCCCCAGTTTGGAGTCATCATTGCCCCGGCTTTGCAGTGTGCGCCCTCCATTGCTCAAGCTGCGTGACCTCATCACCATCGCCCTCCGACCCCTCTGCGCAAGTTGCACACAATCACCCCCCCAAAGGTGTCTACTTCTTCTTTTTCTTTTCTTCTGTTCTTTTTTTTCTTCCTCTCTAGCCACACACACACACACACACACACAGAGAGAGAGAGAGAGAGAGAGAGAGAGAGAGAGAGAGAGAGAGAGAGAGAGTGCGCAGCCCGTAGTTCGTTTGTTGATGTGGTTCGGGAAGGGTAAGGCAGTGATTATGCTGTATGTATGTTTTGTCATGTTCGCTATACACAACTCGAAGAGAGTTTGTGTGGGGTCCCGGTTGGTGCTTTATTCATGATGTTCATGGGACACTGGACCCAGTTTTCAGCAGGTGGCGCTCCCCATCAATTGACAGAAGAATGTGAGTGTGTGTGTGTGTGTGTGTGTGTGTGTGTGTGTGTGTGTGTGTGTGTTATAGAGAGAGAGAGAGAGAGAGAGAGAGAGAGAGAGAGAGAGAGAGAGAGAGAGAGAGAGAGTGTTTGTGTGTGCGTGCCTGTGTGTGTGTATGTGTATGTGTGTATGTGTGTGTGTGTGTGTGTGTGTGTGTGTGTGTGTGTGTGAGAGAGAGAATGTGTGAGTGTGTGCATGCGTGTGTGTGTGTGTGTGTGAGAAGTAATTTTATTGGAATACAAGAGTTATTTCTTTTCGAAATCTGAATAGAAAGGGTACACGTTGTATTCGAATACAAGGTGTACGTGTTCTACTAAGTGCTCTGGTGTTCAAGAAAAGTGGACCCGCGCAGTTTCAATTTTGAAAACGGTCGCGGCCTCCTCGGCCTCCTACGGGCAGCTACCGGTCCTACGCGGTCCTGGCCCTTGCAAGGCCCCAAAACCTCAAAATAACCACCCTCTCGACGACCACCGACATTGAAATTTAAGTGACGTTGAAATGTCTCAGGAGGGGGAAACGCAACCCTGTCGGGCTGTGAACATGGCATGTGCCCACCTTTTTTTTTCCCCTTTCTCCCCGTGTACTTCTACTTCTTTTTCTCCTCCAGTTGAGAGAGAGAGAAAAAAAAAAAAAAAAAAAGAGAGACAGCGACAGGGACAGAGACACAGAGAGAAAGTACGTGCCACATGCCACATGCCCGCCTTTCTCATCCCCTACCCCTCAAAATCTTTCTCCCCTCCCACGACACGTTTTTTTTTTTTTCCTAACGGGTTAACGGTCGTTTAGGCGCATTGTTAGCCCCCCGCTATTTCCTCCTCCCTTCTCCTCCTCTTGCCATCTTCTTGTTCTCGTCCCACGATCCCCTTCAACATCCTGCTATCTCCTTTATCCTCCCACGTGCAGGCAATGCACTGCAGCCAAAACACCATCCCCTCCCACCCTGCAACGCCTTAGGAAGGACAGTCACTGTTTTCCGGTTCGAGAGCGGATTCGGCATGCTCTCAACGAGCGCAGAACGGCCATACCCTAAATTGTCTAACGCGCGGGCGCGAGGAACGCAGCCCTAAGGTAGCCAAAGCAATGGGAATAAGCACTCACATGTGAGAGAGAGAGAGAGAGAGAGAGAGAGAGAGAGAGAGAGAGAGAGAGAGAGGGGAATGGCAGGGGGAG